CCTTGTGAGTCGTGTTGGATGCATTGGATGAGTGCACTGGAGGCCGGCCCGGCCCGGGGCGCAACAGGCAAAGCCGCCAAACCGCCCAAAAAGGTGGCGGCTGGTGATCTTAAGGCAAATGAATAGATCCAGTGAAATGATCCTTTCCCTGCGGTCATTGCTGGAATCTGCTGCTGAAAACCCCAGCACATCTGCTGACAGAAAGTCTGTTCTGTGAAAGTCTGTTCTGGACATGTACCGCCAATGATGGAATGGCTTATCACCCACCCAGAAGCACCTTTGAAGCCCGGGCCCCATCGAACTGGAAGTTGTGCGCGGTCTTCTGATTGTTGACATAATAGTCAGGCCTTGGATCATCAGCTGACCGCGGGGGCATTGGTAGTTATCGGGTCTCGTCATTGGAGCCTTGAACACAAAAAAACAACGGCATTTCATCAATAGTCTTGGATGGGGTGGGTGGGATCCTTTGCACATCCATCCCACCTGCGTGGGTGACCAGCTTCCCCGGCCTCACCGGGGTCAGGTGAGGTCACCCAGGCTCCCACTGGGACCGCGAGAACATCCCAACCGGTCTGACGCGAGAACCTCATTGGGTTGATCGATTCCGAGAATGCTCTCCAGCAAGAAGCACCAGCTGGATGGGGAAGCTCCAGGTCCTCTCACGCAAAGACGCTTAGGGGACACCACAACGATTGCACGGTCGAGACCGTGGTCAAGACCTGCACCTACTGCAAAATAACAACATCGAAACGTCGGCGGTGTGAACGCGTCACTCCTCGTCCCTTGTCCTCTTCCGATCGATGATCGATGTGAATTCGTTCCGAGTTAGCCGTGGAGCTCGGTGTCGGGCAGCTTGAAGGAGAGCGCCCCACGTTCAGGGTCAGCCTGGCACTGCAGGATCGAGTGCAACCGATTCTTTCGCGGATTCGATGGTTGTCAACATGTAACTGGATCTCCAGGTGGTTAAGGAAGGTCAGAACATCGAACCATCGGAGTTTGCAAAGGAAGAAACTCACCGTATACGAAAAAAAACAACTCAAAACTCATCAACTGAAGCATGAACACTGAATATGTGAGAATTGATCGTGGAATATCCACGTACATTGGCCCTTGAACTCACCCCCGTGATCCCCTGTGTATGGGCACTAATTCCATGACTACTGCGGAAAATACACGGACTGGGCAGGATTGAAGAACAACTACAACGTTGAGGGAAATCATCCAATGTCCAAAAGGATCCGAACTAACCAGAGAAGGTTTTAATAGAGAGGGACACCCTGGCCCAATGGGTAGACTGGTCATGACTGGTCTAATGGGCACTTTCTTCCAGCAGGGGGTCGGAACGTCTGGGAGGTTGGGAGGTCTCCCTACTTGAGCCTACCCACCCAAGTGGACAGCAAGACTCCCTCCACAGAGACCAGGGGTTGTTTTCATCCGCCAGTCATTCGGTCACCGACACCTGCGCAGACCGAATGTTCACCACGATTTGACCCTCTGACCTTCTGCCATCTGGACATTTTATCACCAAGTCTCCAATCCTGGTTCAGTAAGGAAGGCTCATTCAGGTAAAGAGATTTGACAAATGACTCGGAACCTTTGAGATCCAACCCATTTCATTCAACTCCCACTTCCACCTGGATGTAGATGAACCTTTTTGCCTCGCCTGAAAGCCTTCGGCTGCCTTGCCAGGGCGCACGCGGATGAAGACCTGTGCAAACTCCGGCATGTCACCAGTGATTTGGTGGATCGGTCATTGCAAACCTACAGGATTTATCAAGGCCTGATTCGTTGAGTGGCAACTAAGGCTCTGTTTCAAGGAAAAGGGAGTAGGCCATGGTCAATTATGGAAGCACGGCATACCATGGCATGGCCACATCAGTGCAGACTTTTAAGTTCACCTGAACCAGTAATACGTACAGGTAGCAGCTACCTAACTCCCTTAGTTTCCCTGGAACATAGAGGAACCAATACAGGTAGCTCTCTTTTTCCACCTGTTGGACTTGAGTGGGGTCTCATCCAGTATCTCGAACCCCCAAGCAAGGTTAAATGGTTATCCACTGACGTCGGGTTCGGTGAAGGAAACAAAGTGTTCACGAAGACTGAGGTCCCGAAGGCGGCGGGTCCATGAAGCGTTGCTTTCTACCAATCCAAGATGGCATCAAAAACGGCAGAAACGTACTGACGCAACTGATTTTGCAGCCAACATGTAATCACGAAGACGCCAGTACTTGTGCAACTCCGACACCTTGATGTTCGAGGCCATTGCAGCATGGCAAGGTGTTGCCTGCCACCACGTGCAAGGGCAACACTGATGAACCCCTAAAATACCTGCAACGTGTTGCCTATACCTCGTCGACAACAGGCATATGAGGATGTATATACTTGGAGTACTACTTGGAGTTATTGACCACCCAGAAAAGCCCTCCACTGTCATGCGTGGTTAGAAATGAGATGAGCCACAAAAAAAATCTACTACATGATCAAAGGACTTCAGAATTTGGTGAGTGTCTGATAGTTTTTTTTGTTTTTCAGGTTGGTGTGTCATCGCTATTTGGTGAGTGCATTGCATTATCGTTTTCTAGCTGGAACCTGAGTTTGGAGATTACATGTCCTTATCTTTACTTTTGTAGCCTTCTGTAAAGTTTGATGGTGCCTTAGATGAAAATACTCGAGGTTGTATAACACACCCTCTATATTGCCCTTATAACACTTTTGATGTTATTGTTTTGCTATTCCTTCCTTATTGTCTTACAGTGCTTTGACTAGCTGCAACATGTGCAGTAGAATGACATGTGTGTGTGCTCTGCATGCATTTGTGCTGGAAACTGCCACACATCAGCAGCTAATTGGATTTGGTACGTATAGTTTTAGGGACTGTGATTTCGTGCACTCACGGAGGAATCCTTTCGAACAGAAAAACGAAGCACGTGTGTCTTAGTGCCCAATCTACTACGTCCTTGGCAGAAGCGAGGCATGGTTTTTGGGGGCGCCAGCTCACCGGATCCGGTTGAGGCTGGCCTCCCCGAATGTGACATTCCGAGTGAACGTTTTTGGGTCTGCGGATGTCATAATCGAAAGACTTTGAAAGGACATCAGATGCCAATGTCCATTTCATTCCATGTCTGTTGAAAACAGGGCAAGCTACCACCCACAGCTACCAGCCGATGCTCGAGCTTTGAGCGGATGAATCAAACGTTGTTGCGACTTAGGGAGATTTAGGGAGCGTCAGGGAGCACAATGGCAAATGGTTTTGACTGGCTTTGTTCTTTGGGGGCGCCTTTAAGCAACTAACTTCTCTGGTGGAACGGCATTTTTTCTCGGGTAATAATTACTGGTTACTTCCACATATCAAGGCCAACAACATCTGTTTTCTTTCACCTGGAGCTACCAGAATAGGTCTTTCATGGTGTGCTGTTGCTATTTTTGCTCTGTGTTGTGTCGTGTTGTTTGCTATGTGTTATTTTTGTTGCATGCATTTTTTTATTTTCCATATACGTGCATGTGTGTGTGGTTTGTTCGGCCTTTATTCCATCCTTTGGGTGGGCCGCTCTACCTGTTCAACTCCAACCGGAAAATGCTTCCTCACCCACAGCGAACTTCCCTGCCTACTCCAGGCCGCTGACTCGGAGACCGACGCCGATTGGCTGGATGACCCCGATTGACATGTCATGAGGTCAGAAATTAGAGAATGATGATATGATAGATGTCGATGTTGGTGCTATATATTTACTAATATATATATATATATATATCATAGATGAGGTCCAACATGTTGCAAGGTCCAATCAACTGTGGTTGGAATAAAGCACATGCTATACGTGAGCGTCCAAGTACTTGTCGTGGTCCATAAGTGTTTGGTAGGCTCGAATGTTCCGGAGCTGTTGGAAGGGTTCCGCTTAAGATTACGTGAAACCCTTGATGTGCATCTGAGTTCACCGTCAGCATGACTGTGGGGTTTTGAACACCTCTACGGTGAGTATACAAGTAGATCCCCACATTCTACAGAATTACTGCGACAAACGTTTGCCATTTGCAGCTCTTTCCAAAGCTCTAAATGCTTCCTGTAGCCCAAGGGCACCATGTTTCCTCCCTGCGGACCTGCATTCACGCTTTGGCTTGAGACGGAGCGAGGGAGTGCGGCTGAGACGGAGCTTGGGAGTGCGGCTAGCCATGCTGTCGACAGTGCAGGAACCTGTTCTTTTCACCACCCAAACCCCCCGTCTTTGCCTCTCTTGCCTCTGACTCTGGTGGTGAAATAAGTGGATTGGATCTCGTGTCTCTTGCCTCTGCTCTCCGGAGATTGACATGAAACAAGCACCTCTCTGCCCGGCTGCTTCGGACGTCCTGTGACAGCAACAGAAGCCGGATGAAGCTGGTCTCAATTGAAGGGGCGGAAGGTAGGGCCCCTTGTAACCAAAAACGGATTACTGTATATACGAACCCCATGGCCAAAACATCAACACATTGGCCCAACACTCTGAGGCCGCCCAGGATCCGGTTCTCGGTCCAGCGATGCATGAGAGCAACTACCGTCCAACAGCACCTCATGGACCACCTAGACCACCCTAATCGGCGCGGTTGAGGCCCCAAATGTTCAAGAGTGGTCCTTCAGTAGGGAGAAGTGGAGCATCTCATGCAGTTCCACAAAGCTATAATAAAGCTATATAGGTTCTTAGCTTTGGGAGGGTCCTGTGAGCAATCCTTCACTTCTCCTTCTCATGAAACCCTGAGACAGCAAGACTCATTCCATGCTTTTTGAGGGCCATCCTCTCGAATGGACGGTGGAAATCACTCCCGGGATGGACCATATACAATATCCAACATTTTGAAAGAACAAATCGAACTGATGCATATGACCCGAACTATGATTCCATGGAAGCCGGTGTCAGACGAGCCGGAGTCCATGGAAGCATTGCTAGACCATCTTGGCTTTCTGCACCAAACACCGCCACTCTGGGCCCAGTACTCCGTTCGCCACTCTGGGCCTCGGGTTCCCGGACCAAGTACTCCGGGTGCAAGGCGTGGCGTGGATGCTGAGGAAGGGCAGACTTTCCGCACAAAATGCGTTCGCCGGACTTCTCTAAGGTCCTAGAGGTGAGCTGAACATCACGGTGAGCAGGTCCCCATCCGATCCCGATTCCGATCCGTGTTTTGTTTCTTTTCTGTGACCGTCACAGGGTTGTCACGGACGGAAGCTGTGGTAAGGAGTCTCAGAAGTTTTGACTCTGTCTGTACCCTTTTGCTCCTAAAGAAACAAAAACTGCAATGGCAGCACACCAGTGACCACTCAATAGCTTGTAAATATGCTTGGATCACCCTGCCATTGTCAGGGTTCAGTAAATGAATGTAAATGGCTCATCTGAGTACTGTTTCAAGATCGGTGCAAGAAATTCAGGGAAACTTGTCTGACAAATCCAGGATTTTTGTCCTTCTGACCTTTGGGGAAACCTCCTCTCACGTTTTGGTCAGGCTCGTTTCCCCGCGTTGTTTGACACGAGTCCAAAACGAGCGTTTCCCGTCCCTTTCGCTGCGTTGCTGCCCCGAACAGCCTGTGCCCTGTTCGTCCGCCGTCCGCTGGATCCTTAAGTATCAAACCCTTGTCCCAGGGTCGGACATCTCCTGCTCTGTGTGGTTTTTGGATACTGTACATTTCAGCACATTTCAACTAATTACTCAAGTGTCTAGAAACAACCAGCTTATTGCGTGTCTGATCTAACCGATCTCAGTTTCTACACAGAACATTTCTCTGTGTCCATGGGTACTCCAGAAACGTCGAGATGCAAGCGGTGAAACCGGCGGCCGTCCTCTTGAGATCTTCACGATTTGGAACATAGGTGCGGCCCTTAATGTTCGGCTGCGACAACCTCAGCGCCCATGATCAGAGCAGATTCTCCATGATCGCTGAGGTTCTTGCTTGGTAAACTACTTACATATCAGGTGCTGCCAGAATCAGCGAAATCCATCAGTGTGTTATAGTCGTAGTGGTTGGGGAGTAGAACAAACAATCCGTGAGGAGCCGTGAGGATAGTCATGTTTTGGGTCTATCCCATCACCTGCAACCATGGATGATGATGGTTAAGTTGTAGGCCTTATTTCAAACTCTGGCCTTTATCATTGTTGCCAGAACCCGTATAGGGAGTAAAACTGGGAAAACTCACTATCAACCCCTTTTAAGATTCCACCCCTTTAGCCCTCTGATGAGACATGTATGCCTAGCTATGCCTAGCTTGTGCATACCCAAATGTTGCATTCTGTCTGTTTCACCACATCAAATACATCTGCTATCATCTTCCAAGATACTCGTTTTGACGGCTTGACGACCAAAAACAACCATGAGTGACCAACATCGATGCGTCCATGCCAAGCCAAGTAGCTCGATATCCCGTCCATCCGCAGGATTATGTTGATAGTCCTGGTGCAAACCACGAAGATGAGACGATGGAATTTGATGGAAACACGTGTTGTTCGATTGGTGGAGGGATTCGATCTTCGGTACTGGTCTGGGTACTCCTCAAAATTGAGACGCAAATACCAAACCGGTACCGGGTTTCAACCCACTGGAGAAAAAAGGGTCATTGAACCATCCGAGCTCAATCTTGGAAGGCATGTAATTATAACTGTACAACCCAAACATGTTTGCTGAAGTATAGCACTGTCTTGGGCATTTGATGTCAGAACCCTGCGAGGGCATCTAGGGGAACAGTGCTACCCCAAGCCACTGTCGCAAACTGTTAGTCTTTCAAACGGAGCTGTGGGTCGCTATGGGAGTGGCGGGGACATTACTGGTCATCTGCTGGAGAGACCTTCCAATATAGTGGTTCCCCACGCCATTCGTGGTACCCAGAACGGAATAGTCTAGCTTCTCCACCCTGCTCAGACCTGTTAGAGAATGTAGTCTGACAAGTCAACAACTTGTTTGAATCTCGCACAGTTCCTTTTCGCAGCAGCGAATCAGCTCAAGGGCCCTGTTCAGCCGAAACAGCAGCGACGGTGCATCAACTGTACGCAATACACCCTGGCTACAACAGCTGAAATTCACACCCGTCTTATCTACAGGTGTGTTGCGGGCTTTACAGTTCAAGTTGTACAAAGGCAGCCAAGCAACTCTATTCCCCGTGGGGCCGTAAACCATGCCATTCCATGTCGAATTCTCAAAACAAGTCAGGTGAGACTTCTCCATCTTTCTTCTTGGCTCCCTTCTCGCATGCGCCACTGTTCTCGACATTTACAAGGCCACTTTCCAGTGTCTTGAGGAGGTAGTCTGGCTTCATGCTCTTGGTTAGCGGGTCTGCCAATTGCTTCGATGTCTCAATCCACCTCAGGTGGTCACCATAGGGACTGTAGATCTCTGATGTTTTCTCGCCACTCACAGTCCATACCCCTTGCCTCAATGCGGCAAGTTCTATGCCAAGCCTCTTGTCTTGTACCTTTCTTGGAACTTCTGCCAGTAAATGGTCCGATAAGCTCCTGCAATCCGTGTAGTACACGTGTGCCATTCGCCTCTGGGTTTCTTCATGCCAGTTCTTGAAGTCATCAAGTCGTCCGGTCAACTCACAAATCAGGCATCGTAGACGATCTCCATGTTCGACTGCAGTTTGCAGAGCATATGCTTCTGCTTGCAATGTAGCACGACACACCCTTTTGAGGGTGGTTGAACCAAAGCTGATCAGATGCATTCTGTGACTGCCTTCCTTGAGGCTGCTCGCATTCGTTATGTAGTGAATGCGGCCTTGCTGACTCTTAAAGCCTTCTTCGTTTGCGAAACTTGCGTCGCTAAATGTCACAACTGCCAGATCGCTCCAGTCAATCCAATCACTCTTGAAGGTGATCTGCAAGTCACTTCCTTGAAGTGCCAATTCAACAACCTTGTTGGCATTCTTCAAGTCTTGCACTGTTGCCTTTGCGCTACATGCACGTTGCATCTCATTCACACGGTAACAAAGGTCTGGTCTTCCATAACGGGCAACCCAAGCCAAACTACCAACAACGCTCCTGAGGCTTGTCAACTCCCTCTCTGTCACCTTTTCCGACAGCTTCCGGTGCTTGTCGATTTCGATCGGCTTCACTGTTCTGCAGTTTTCACTTGTAGAAATGCTTACGGAGTAGTCCTCATGCTGTACGAACTGACGTCCGCAGTATCGGAACTTTCCCGATTCTGTTTTGCCAATCGTGAACCTTTTGAGGATACCTTCAATTGTCTTCTTGCCTTCATCAAGGTAGCAATACAACAAGTCGTCGACATGTGTCGCGACCATGCCTATCAACTTTCCCTTGGAATTGTGCAAATAGTACAATGCAGGTGTAATGCGACTGCACTTCAACCCGGCACTGGTGATCTCACCATTCATCCTCAAGTAAAAACCTCTGCCAGCGTCGATCGTGCCATAGATCGGTAGGCGTGCAACCAACATTGCATCCGGTGGAACATCCGGACTTGGAATTCCACCACGTGGCTGTTTGAGCAACAGCAACCTCGTCATTGGCTGACTTTGAAAATACGCTGAGGAAACATCTGCCGCATATAGGGTCACACGATGGCTTGATGCGAAGCTTGCAATCAACATGTGTCCTTCAGTCTCAGCAGTGGGGCTATCGCAGCGAATACCCTGTGAATCACGGCTCACTTGTTCGTGATTTCCACAAGCTACTAGCCGAGATCTGTTTTCTGGCCGATGCTCAGGCGTACCTGTCAGATGGGCCTGCTTATCCACATCTACCCATTGCATAGGAATAGGAACATGCCCTTCTTGAAGTAACTCCTCCAATTCCTTGCCTCGAATAGGCATTGCAGCATTGAAGCTCCTGTATTTGCTCCACTCTGCACGGCGTGCATCCAAGATGCGAGCTTGCATCTCGGGAGTGCATCGGTCGTATTGCAGCGTCTTTGCCACCTTGCCAACCTGCGTCTCACTGTTTTCTCCAAAGCGTTGAGCCACGAAGGCTCGAAACTCTGCAGCATCGAGTTCAGCGTCGTCAGCAGCGGCCATGGCGATCAACGGGTGTTTTACCCGTGTAAAAATTGTGAAACCTGTCCATGCGCGAGAATCAACATCATCCATGCCCGGCATGGACTCGCTGGTCATTCGACTTCCGTCTTCATAGACTTTTCTGGTTACGCGTCTTCCTCCGAATCCTTCCGGAACATCTCCGTCATGCAGCGGATGAAAGTCATGGAATCTCCTCTTGTTGTGAACACGAATTGCATGGTTCTCAGAGATTCTCCAATGGTCTTCATTGTCAACCAATGCAAGCATGACCTCATCATCACCACCAATGCCTCCGGGGGTCATCGGAACTGCGACTGCGCTTCCGCTCGCGCTTGCAGATGATCGGGCAGCCTTGCCCGTCTTATCTTCTGCTTGTGCTTCTCTCTTCTGTCCCTTCTTAGGGCTTGCTTCTTCATCCATCATTCGGATGTACTTCTGCTGTCCCAATGTCACTGCCTCCGGGAATACTGGGATGTTGTTCAAAATGGAGTAGGCCAAAGATTCACTCTCATTGGCTGATCTGAGTTTTCCGGCGGCGCACAAAATAGGAATACCTTCATGTAGCAACCAGATGCCATTGTGCGGGTCAATGCCAATCACACGCGAAGCAGTGGACCACACGGTTCCACCCTGCTGAGTGTCTCGACGGTAGACCACAAGGTCTCCAACCACAAATGACTTCTTGTTCTGGACTGCGGCATTCCTGGTCAATGTCAATGCTCTTGCAACACGGGAGCTTGTATCCAAATGAATGAATGCTTTTTGTGCAGCCATACGGGATGCATGACACAAATGATAGCTTGCTGCAGGGTCAAGCTTGTTCTCCAAGATGCCCAAATTTCCTGCCTCATCCATATCTGTCACAGATCCTGGAACTCTTGGGTTCCTACCCAGGACCCATTGTGCTGGAGAATAGCCTTGGACTCTTTGCATGTGGTTCTTTACGGAAGTGCATTCGTGCAAACATGTTTCAAACGCATTGCGGCCAACGGCTTCCATGTCATGGATGGTCTTCCTGAGAATTGCCTTCAAGATGCCTTGGTGCCTTTCAACCTTGCCAATGGCTGATGGGGTTTCCAATGGTGCGTAGAAGATCTCAACACCGTGCGAAGCGAACAGCTTGGATACCTCACCTCGGTTGTGGACACCTCTATCCATGATTGCAGCCTTTGGAAAACCTGCCCAACTGATCCATCTGCGTAGGATGGCTTGTGCACAGGCTTCTGACGTTGGCATACCTCCACCTTCTTTGACAACCTCTGACAAATGGAATCCTGTCGAAATGTCTAGCATCGTGAGAATGCTGTACTTGTTCCCTGCATAGTCCTTCATTTCTGTGACATCAAGACCAAGCATGGCATTGAACTCATACTGGAAATTACTATTTCCTACCGGATGATCACGGGGGCGTGGTGCAGTGTCTTCGCAGGACTGACAACGGACGAGACGTGCAGCTTCGATCAACTCCTTGCTTGCCTTACCTGCCTTTAAAATATTCTTCAAAGTTGACGGTGCGGGATGTCCGAACTGCCGATGCAAGCGACGAATTGCAATGCGAGTCCTCTGGGGGAGAGCACGCCACAGTCGTCTCCGTTTCTGTTCCGTCATGTCGGCTCCGGGCAATGCAAGTTGGTCTAGCATGAGTTCTTCCCGTTCCCTTGCCGTCAATGGTTTTCCATCATCATGTTTGGTTTCCTGGAACACTCCCTCGATGTCACTGTCCTCGATTTCAGAAATGTCTTCAAGTTCGTCTGCGACAAAACATGTTCGTGCAAAATGCTCCAAATAAGTTTCTTCTGACATGGTGTTCAACATCTCTAGGAGTCTTGCCGATTTTGCGTCTTCGAAACATTTTGGAATCATGCTCTCTCCGCACCAACCTTCCAGCGCCTCCAAGAGCTTGGGGCTTTGTGGACCTGCCAAGGCAAACTCTAGGTCACCACCAAGACAAATGGAATGTTCAACAGATGTCTCGAGAAGTGGTGTGAAAAGAAGAAGGTTGCAACCATACATGTCGACTTCCATGAGCATATCATTCCAAATCCTCCTGGGGTCCGTGTTCTCCAAAAACAGTACAACCAAACCAGGGATTTTATTTGAGATGTGCTTGATGACCTCCTTGCGGGTCTTCACCCAGTTTGCACCTACATCGAATACCTTTGCACTCTGGGGTGCATTGATCAACATGTCATCCTTGACAATGACCATGTGTTGCACACTCAACGGGTTGTTCGAGACTAGTGCATGCAGGACTGAGTCGTTCTCTTGCAAAGTCTGCAGGCCGGCGACAAACACTTGTTTTTCTCCTTTGTTCATAGTTCGGTGATCCAGAGCTACGAATGCATGACCATCGCTGTCGGAGCTCAGCTCGATCTCTCCTTGGAAGCGGCTCATGATGAACTTGTCTCGGTCGAGCACCTCACGC